GGCATCCTGTCCCTGTTTCAGTCCCCAGATCACATTTATATCTGCATTTCCCCCAGCGGGTTTTGATTTTAATGCAGTTAACCAGGAACTGTGCAGTTCACAGGATTAGTCTCTTTTAGCCACCAAATTAATGGAAATTGGAGTATACGCTTCCTTTGAAGGTGTACTTTCTCTTCGGGAGCTTCGACTTGGAGGATCATTGGTGAGATAATATCAGGAGTCTTAACTAATCCCCTAATAATTGTACCAGGGGCGAACAAATCTGTCTACAACAATTAGCCCAGTAGTCCACCACAAGGCTACTCTTACCTGATAAGTGGGATTTTACATTGAAAAGGATTTTTCTCCATTTGCTTCAAAGCTGGTAGCTGCGCAAAGTCCTGAACCCTGCGGCGAGGCTGCGTGCAACCCTCTGGTCATGCTCGCTTTGGAGCGGGGCGTGTTCTAGTCGCTGAGTTTATTAATAATGCGTGCATTGAGCAATGGGATAATTACAGCAAGTTTGTCTGGGGATGGAGAGCAGCAGAAAGAGAAACTGAGAAATGCGTCTGAGAAGAAATAGCAGCATTTTTTTGGAGAAGGCAGTGGGCGGTTTGGCAGCACATGCTACAGCTGCTGGCCTGGGGACAGATGCAGGGTGTCAGTCCCGACCTCAGCATCCCCAGTGCTGTTGCCGGCACGCTGGTACTTTACATGCTGTAGGTTTTTTGGAAAAAAAAAAAGTTTGGGTTTGGAAGGGTGTCTCGGCGCTTGCTGGTTGCATCGGAACTGCGGTGTGAAGGGCCGAAGCTGTCTCCCCTGGTTTTTGCCTGGAAGTTGCCTGACAGATGGAGACCATCAATTTGTAGGCAACTAGAATATCTCCAAAGGCAACACCATCAATTGGCAGGAGGTAAATAGATGCTCCCCTTCTGAATAAAGCAGGGCTGGAGCCCTCTCTCTTTATCTTCCCGTCCAAACTGGAGGTATCTGCTATTGCTCTCTAATTCCTTCTTCTCTTTGTTTTACTTGTCTGAAACCTCTTGGCTGTGGGAGAGGTTGCATGGCCTCAGAGCTGGAGAGTTTTTGTCATGGTGATTAGTCGGTATAGTTGGGGCGCTGGAGACCTTAGTCCATATGCTGCCAAAAGATGAAAATGATTATTATTATTATTATTTGCCCACTTCACAGGGAGACTGTGAGGATTAATTCATGTTTGTAAATTGCTTTGGAGATTTAAAGCTCTATACAAGCGCTGAGGATTATTGCCTTCTAATTCTTCAAGGTAGTATAACTTTTATAAAGACTTTGAGCCTTGAAAGCATCTTGGAAATGGGAAGAGTTAAATCCCTTTGAAATTAGATATACTTCTAATGTTCAAGATAAAAACTGCTTGTTCTTTGCTGCTTCTTCCAAAAAAGGAAAAAAAGAGGGGGGAAAATTTAAAAAAAAAAAAGCAGTGCCACGTTATGACAGTTCTTCTTTTTTTTTTTTTTTTCCAGGAGTCCAATGTGCTGATTGCTGCTAACAGTCAGGGTACAATTAAGGTAAGTTATTTCATGCATCTCCTCTTTAAATACTTGAATCTGCTGTTAGTAAAGAGCAAGGTCAGAGAAACTGTACAGCCAGGAAAAACCATTAGAGGAGGTCATCCTGACTGTAGAAGTTTGTAATTTAAATGATGCATTTGCTGCCGGTGGAGCAAGCAGACGGCGGCAATAGCAACAAAACCCAGTTAAAGCAAGGTGTGGAAAAGCTCAAAACCAGTACCCGAACCCACGCCAGTGCGGATCCTCTGGAAAGCCCCAGGTCTGATGCCATCCCAAGCTGTAGGCAGCAGCGCTGATCTCCACTGTGGTTTGAGCCTTGGTGGTGGACACTGTGAGTTGCAGCCCAGAGCCCTGGCAGCTTTCTGTAGCCACTGATGGAGGGGTTTACCTGCCGTTTGCAAAGTTGCGCCCTGAATTGCTGCTCTGGTCAAGCTGAGGGCCTCATCCTGGTTTCCCCTCACATCCCTGTGACGGTAGCAGCTCCCTGGAGCCAGACCAGAGTTGTTGATCTGAATGGCCTCGGAATAATCACCAAAAAAAGCAAGGAATGGAGAGAGACCCAAGTGGTCTGTGTTTGACAGTGTCAGTTTTACTTTTTCTCTTCCTTTTGGTGCCACGAGTGACCTGGTGACTCCTGCTGTTGCAGGTGGTGCTGTTCATAGGTGATTTATTTAGCAGGCTTTGAAGTTCATTGCTCATTACTTTGGTCACTTCCTTCATAGTAAAATGCACAAAATGCACAGATGCTTTTGATATCTTGAAGTGAATCCAGCAGCAACCAGGAGAGTGATTAGAGAGGAGAGGTTTTGCTCGTGCACTTGGCTTGTTAATGACAGAAGGTAGACAGCGAACAGCCAGGGCTGTCAGAACTCTGGTGTTTCCATTTGCCCTTGGCAGCACGCAGGGGGAAGGTGAGATGGTTTGGGAAAGAACCAGGTTTGCACAGACCCACTCCACTCCAGAGGCAGATGCTGTGCCAGACTGTATCGATGGGCTCCAGCTCTCGAGTAAAACCAAACCAGGTTAATGGAGGCTCTGACAGGCCTCCCGGTCACTTTTCTTCTGCCAGCTCCAGGTCATGCCTTCAGAGGTTGCTGCACTGTCATAATGTGGACAAGGGAAACGTGAGCACAGAGGGCTGAGGGGACTAAGAGCTGGTTGATTGGAATGAGTGGGAATGAGGCAACTGTGTTTTTCTTCATGCTATAATTTATCCTACTGCAAGCAGGCATCGAAATCAGGATCCTTGCCAAGTGCTTATCCCCTTTGTGTGGTATTATTGCCTGCTGGCGTGCAAAGGGTAAGGGGTGGAGACAGAAGAGTCAATCCTATCTTAGTGATCTGTATGCTGATGTAGGAAATACTGAATGTTATAAATTCCTATTCTAGATGTCTCTTTTTTCCCTGCTCATCAGGTACTGGAGCTGGTATGAAGGGTTTTCGCTCGAGGCATAAGGTACTTGGTCCTGCTGATTTGCTGCAGTGTTCATCTGGGATCCTCAGTGGGACAAGAAACCGAAACCACCTTGATGTTCCTCCCCAAAACCATCATGTTTGGATTTTATTCCATTTATGGACTTTCTAGGACATTTTGAGACTCTGGAACACCAGTGAACTGTCTGCCATCGACATTAACTCCACAGACTTTGCTGCTGCTGGTGGTGGTGGTATGGTTGTCGTAATTTTTATGATGGGAAAACAAATTCTTTTAAATAAAAGCAAAAAGGAATAATAAAATTTATTGAGCCACAAGCTGAAGCTGGAAGATTCTGTCTGGTTGCTTATGGGAGCAGATTTACTTGGGAAGGGAGCTTACAGAACCCCACAGGGCTACCCTCAGTTGCACGTCTCCAGTTACTTTCACCGGGACTGTTCTTCATCCCCACTGAAAAAAGTCTCCAAGCATTGCCTGGACATGCAAGCAATTCACTTTTGAGATCCTGTAGCAATGTGGTTCAGTTGTTCCTTTGATTTGTTAATTTTTTTATTTTTTTTTTGGATCTGTTAAATGTTGAGAAATGTCAGCTGGGTTGACACTGCTGGTGACTGAAGCCTTCTGGCCGTTAAGAAGAGGAAGGCAGCTTCCCCATCCTCTTCTTACATCCCTGCCCTGACCTGAAGGGGCAGCTCCAGAGGAGAGGATTAAGTTGTCCCTCCCCTCCATATGAGCTTGGGTCTCTCTGCTGCCTGCCCCCAGCAGCGTGCTGAGCTGAGGTGATCTGCAGTGGCCTGGGACCTGGACTGACCTCACCAAGACGTCGTGGTGTAGCGATCTCCCTCCCCACTCACCTGGCTGCGTCTGACTTAGCTAGAGGAGGAAGCTTCTAGATCCACTTACCACAGGCCTGCTCCTCACCACTTTGTCACCCGTGTGCTCTCAGTTGAGTTTGCGCCTCTTTGCGCCCCACGGGAGCCAAGTGTGTTTGCATGTTGTAATGAGAGAGGAACAGAGCTGGTTTGTGACGTGTTTCAGATATAAGTGGCCTTATTTTTAACGGTCATGCATCATACACTCAATTGTACATGTGGAGGGGCAATAAACCATGATGCTAAGAGTTAACATTGCTTTGTTGGCAGGATAGCAGGGAGGGTAAGAAAGCGCAGACAGTCTTCACGAGTCACAGTCACGCCAAGCTGTCGGGATTGCTGCCAGAGCTCGTTAAGCTGGAGAGCGAAATCGGTGGGTGTAGCACCTTTCCCTCGCTGTGGGTGGCAAAGGTGCGATGCGTACAGCGATACCTGGGGGAAGCGTTTCAGTTTGCAAACAGAATCTCTCTAAGATCATTCATTGCAGTATGCATCTGCTTCGTGCCTCTGAGGCTGGGATTGCTGTGGAGACGTCGCTCTCGGCATCAGCAAAGCAAAGCCCTGCCGCAGTCTTGGGCCACCCATCGAGGAGCTGTAACCCACGGCGTGTGCAAGGTGTCTCGTGTCCTCCAGGTGTTAAAAGCGCAGGAGGACTGCGTGGTCTTCTCGCAAACTTTGGTGACAGAGCAGAAAAGAAAAGCAAGTCTGATCTTGGGATTATGAACAGAGAAGCAGGAGCCTTCTGGCAGAACTGGGGACAGATCCTGTCCTCATTCAACGTTGGTGCCTGTTTCTAGGGGGCCATACATGCTCCTTCAAAGCTAGAAGGAGATGGGGTGCACCAAAATTGCTGTTGGCTTCTGGAGAGTCTTGTCCAGTGGGGAGAAACAGGATGCTCAGCTCCAGGAGAGCTGTGGATGGCCCTTAGGTGGTATGTAATGGGTTTTTTTCTGTGGTTTCTGGCATTCCAGATGGGGTGGGAGCGAGGAGAGTAGAGCACGTGCCGGCTCACATCCCGCTCTGAGGTGCTACCTGCAGGTCTCTGTTGTGTGAGTCACCCAAGTCACTGTGGCAGAAGGAAACAAAATTAGTTCCTTCTGCCTGATGGCAGCTGTCTGTCGCGTCCCGCTGAGCGCTGGCTTCATTTCCATTTTGCTGTGTTTTAAGAGAATTCGGTGCTGGGTTGCCTGTGCTGGGCTGTGCGGCGCGTCCTTCCCAGCCAGCCTAACTCTGGAGGCAGGGCTGCTCTAGGGAGGTGCTCGTGCTGCTTCTCCTGGTTCCAGGCGTGGCTTTTCCTCAGCCTTCAGCTTGTTTATCGATACCCACTAATTTATTTTGTGAGCTGCCGTGGCTGCTGTTGTACCCCGGCTTCTTAGCGTGCAGCTGCCGCTTCTCAGGTGACCTTCCTTCTCTTCCTCCCACTTGAAGGTCCTCTCTGTTTTAAATTGCAATCACTCTGATGAAGCTGAGATCTTAAAAACAGAAGGAAAAAAAACACCTCACAGCTGTTTTGAATGCTGTAAGGTTACTCCTTGAATTAAACAGGGAAAACAGGTTAACATCGGCTGCCTTTATTTTTTCAGTTTTCGTTCTGTTTCAATCAAGATAAAATGCAAACTTGGTGTCTGGCCCTAATTAGAAACACAGCAGCTCGTAAACACAAGTCGACAGCATTTTTTTGTCTTTGTCTCTTCGTTGCAAGTGTTACACTCCTTATTTTAATCCCCTTAATTTTCCTACCTTTGGTAGGTCTTCGCAGTTAACATATTAAGTTACATATAATTACTTATTGTAGTCTTTCTCTTTTTTTTATCAGCATTTGGTCAGTTTTGTTTGTTTTTTTTTTTAATTAGTCACCTCCACAACAAATGGTCCCTTACCAGGTTTTCAGAGGTGGGGAGTGGTTGAGTTTGGGAGGGAACTCTGGGGATCTCCAGACCTCCAGAGCAGGGATTGCCTCTAAGTTGGATGAGGTTCCTCCAGGGCTTGGAGATGTTCACAACTCAACCAAGCAAGGATTGGATATACATAAGTCCCTCTGGGAAACCCGTTCCAGTGCTTAACCATTCTACTTGCAAAAATTAATTGCAGGTGGTGGGTGCTTGGAGTCTTTATTACCATTTTCTTCTTTTGAAAGAACAAGGTTATAAAGCCCTTGGCTAGAAGCTGCCCCAGAAGAGTTTTGCCTCCAGCGCTCGTGTCCCTGCGAGAGGTGTTGGGTGACTCAGATTCTTCTCTGTGAAAGGGAATTTTAAACGCTGCCTGGCCAGCCAGTCCCTTTAATTAATTTTAAAGCATTTAATTGAAGAGTAGGAGGAACATGCCTCAGCGCTAAAAAGAAGTTCAGTGCTGGAGGGAATCAAAAATGATGGTCAAGGGGAAATTTAAATTAATATCTATATGTCAGGGCTCTTCAGCCGTCGAGTGCGGACGGCTGCTAATGCCAGCATTTGACCCGAGCACTGGCGCCTTGTTTGTTTAGGGTAATTTTGTTTAACTATGGAAGCTTGTAATGACAGCAGTGGATAATTGGAAAGGCACATCTAATTTTTTCCTTGCTTAGAATCCTCCTTCGTTACTCGCTGCCTTTTGGAGGTGTGCCTGAGACCAGGGGAAGCCATGAATCGTAGCAGCGTCTGTGGCATAAGGACCAGAGCCCACATCTTGTGTCTTCTGGTAATGATCGCCACGTAGTTCTGCTTTAGTTCTGCTTCAGAGTGAGCTGCAAAGGGGTTCTTGAAGTGAGGGTCTTCTCATCCTTATCTCTATCCAACTACAAGGCACTGTTTTGGTATTTCAGGTCTTTAAGGTCTTCATAAATGAATTAAAGTGGTTGGTTGGGCTAAAGCAAGACTTTTTCCTCTGCTCTGCATGTTAACCAGCTGTTTGAGTTGGGTAGCTCTTGCCAAAAAACTCTTAAACCTTTCCAGCTTAACTTTCACTCCCTAAATCTTGCTCTGGCTGATGGTTGGCCATCATTACTCAGCAGAGGCAGGGCAAGAATTCGTCCTCTAATGTCAAGCCACAGAAAAAATTCTTGGGAGGGGGAAAAAAAGCGAGTTTTTTGACATCTCTGAGAAATACATGATGAGAAATAAAACTAAGTATGAAATTGCCTTGGCTAGTCTGTAGTGCAGTGGGACTGGCTTTCAGAGAGGTGTGAGCACCTTTAACCCTGTGATCCTCTCCAAAATCCCCCCAGCAAGGGCTGGGGAGCGTGCTGTCACTTAGACCCTTAAAATCATTTCAGGCAGCAAAGGATAATAATTTGGGAGACTTTCAGAAAAGAAAAAAAAATTAAAGGCCGTCCTTAGGAGGTGTGAGTAATAGCATGTGACAGCTGAAACGGAGCCAGCAGCACAAGCACAAGGCAAATCCCAAACCGGCGAGCGCCGATGTGCCCATCCAGCTCTGCCTGCCTGCCCATTGCTCCTCCACGTGCTGGGAGCCTTGCCCTAGGGGCTTTCCATTCAGAAATTAAATATGTTCGTTTAAAGGTTGCCCCCTCGGTATCATGAGCCTGGCAGAGGTGACTGCGAGGAAACACGAGCACGGTGTTGGGCTCTGATGGACCGAACCGCAGAGGTGTGAAGGCGCTGGGCCATCCTACGTATCTCCGGACCCCATGGTAGGGACGGTGACCTCTGGAGGATGAGCAGCTCGTGCTAAAGGTGTGACCCTATCCCACCTGCCACCCATGAGATGTGCAGGAGTGGGCAGGGAAAAGTCTCAGCAGCTCTGACTTGTCCTCAGGGGCCTTATTTAAACAACAAGTTTGTCTTGATTATGGTGCTTAATCTGACCTGTCAAAATCCCCATAAAACCCATTTAGATGTTTAAGAGGGAAAACACACTCCTCTCATCCTGCTAGACCCAAGCAGGAGCTGGTCTGAAGCCACTGCTCCTGTCCCAGCACCGGTGTCCTGCGTGAGAGGCACGTGCTGGGGGTGCTTCCTCCAGGGACGAGCCCTTACCCTGCCAGCCCAGCACCAGCGCTCAGCTGCCCATAAAAAATAGTTATTTTACAGGGAGTTATTAAACAGGGAGTCATTTTATAGAGAGTTATTGTAGAGAGTTATTTTAATTGTTATTATAATAATTATTAAGAGCCAGCAGCTCTTCCCCAGTCCCACGATGACTGAAAAACATCCTGAAGCTTGCATTGATCTGCTGAGTGACCCGTGACTTAGTGGGGGGGAGGTGGGCTGAGGGGAAGTGAAGCGGGGCTGACCCCTCAAAGTCATAAGAGCATCACGCCTGAGCTGGCGCCAGCCAGGGTGAAACGGGCCAAAGCCCAGCAGACCGCGACGGCTCTTGCCCCTCGGCACAGCCCCGCTGGGCTGGGGGCTGCACGTCCTGGGGTTGGGCGGACACAGGGCAGCCCTCAGCTGGGGGGAAGGTATGGGCGCATCCGAACCCCCTGTCCTGCTCCCCAGCTCTGTGCTGAGAAGGACGAGAGCTGATTTCCAAGCTCTTCAAACACAGCGTGGTGGGTTTACGCCGCTGGAGAAGGGTGATGGGGCTGGGAAGAGTGTGCCTGTTTTGTGAGATGTTGAGGAGCAGCTCCTGTCTGGATGTTAGCAGGGAAGACATCTTTGTGTGTCCCAGCTCACCCAGAAGAAGGAGGGGGAGGAGAGGGCAGCATCACTTACAACCTGTGCCCCCCCGGCTTTTCTTCTGTTCAGTTTTTTTTCCCTGTAGGAGATTAATGGGAACTCTTTGTCTTCTAACATGACTGTACCTTATGAATTCTCTGTCTCACCCTCATCCTTTAAATTATCCACATAATAAAATATGTATTCAGTGATTTCAGGTCATAATTTGATCTGCTTAGGGAAGAAAAGGAATGATGGAGAAGGGTTGCCAGCATGCTCTGCTCTCTTCCATTTGTCTTTATTTATCATCTTTTTTAACTAACTAACAACCTGTGCCCTGCCTGGTGCTGTAACGCTGGTACTCACTTTGCTCATTCCTTGCAGAACAATTCCCACCTCCCCTGGCACCTCCAGCTCAGCAGAGCGCCGGGAGCTGCGCTGCCTCATCCCAACCCCAGTCAGTTGGCAAAGGTGATGTTTGCGGTGGCCTCTTCTGCAGAAGGGGAAGGAGACCCTCCCCAGTTATACCTCAAATGCGATCGCACTGAGAGCGGGTTACACTTGTTTGTGATAAAAATCGAGGTTTAAAATACTTGAGTTTAGTATGGTCCTTGGACCGACGTCCCCCTGGGTGCCTGTTTCCCCTGTGGCTGTTTACATAGCTATTTGTCTGTCTGCAAGCCTGAAAAGCCTTTCATTTCGGTCATGCGAAGCCATTGATTTCAGCAGTGCTGGCTGGTGGGTCGGTGCCACTGCCGAGGGAGGTGGGGGCTTCTCGAAAGGAGGTTTTAGGGGACTTCTCTGCTGCACAGATTCTCTGAGCTCCCAGAGGATGTTTGCTTCTTGCCTTTGCTTCTAAGGGCTATTTATTTCGGCAATGGACATGCTCTCTGCGTGCTGGCACCGCTGACGGATGAGAAAGCAAGGTCTTGTCACTGCAACGATGCTTTAATGATGATGAAGTGTTAGCATTGGCATCGCTTAGCGCTGGGCAGGTGGGGAGAAGGAGGGAAAGCAAATCAGTGACACCTGCCCAGGGAGAGGACATGGCTAACCCAGGCATTTCTGAGCAGCTAAGGGTAGCCTTGCTGTCGTATGTTCTGCTGTGAGCAGGGACACAGAGGGGGAGGAAAAAAGTAAAGGGCAGTGCCCCAAAGCATCTCACAAAGCACCTGATTTGCAAAGCAGGCACCCATTGTGCT